GCATCGAACAGTGTGGCAAAGTCCAGCCACGCTTCCTTAATTGTCGGGGACTTCAATTCGAAGGTTGGCTGTGTCATTGCTGTTTGTGTGTCTTACATGTTCACAACGTTTTACCTCATGAGCATTTGCCTCACTCCGCTTGATGTCCCACCAGTCCGGATGCACCCCTGCTAGCTTTCGTCACCTACCCTCGGCCTCAAGTTAATAAATGGGCTGGTGGGGAGGAAAAAGAGGAAAACTCTCCATTCTATTGGACACACATCTACTTGGACAAAGACTTGGAAGGGTCGAACCAGTCTTTCTTGGCCTTTGGCCGCCGCACGTGCGATGCAACGAGGCATAGACCCTCCGACCGAACTCGACCGAGGCATCAACTTGAGGGCCCAGCTCTTGGCATACTACCAACGTGGCTGCCCGAGATGCGCCCGTTCCAGACGAGTCCGAAGTGCGGATGGACGTAGTCCGACCTGACTCCCGTCCGAATCCGTCCGGACCGTACACCAAGCACCGCGACCTATGGTCGTTTCCAATCAAAAGAGAGGTCATGTCTGGGCTTCTTGGCTTCGGCTTTTGGAAAGAGGGGGTGAAGGCGTCTTCGCCTTCGCGTCTTCGCGTTTCATGTTTCGCGTGGCACCAGGCTTCTACCGTGCACCACTCATGACGCTGTGCCTCATTGGCAAAGAGCCCCTGAGTGAACTACAAGGCGCTTGACGCCCCGTGCGCGGTGCGAAAGACACTGGCAGATCTGCGGTTCAAGAGAGCTTCAGTGTGTACCCGAGCATGGCAGGCCGACACTTGCCTGCACCCCCCGTGGGCTCTGGTGACCCGTGGCTGCCCCACTTCCGCCGGTCCGGACCGCTCCGGCAGGCTATGCGGAGCGGTTCTTTGGGAAGATCCCGGGCGATGGAGGCGATGGGGGTCGGGGTTTTGGGGTTTTGGGGGTTTTGGGTTTTTTTCGGGGTTTTTAGGGGGCTATTTGGGGGGTCCAAGCGGCTTTTGCTCTCCGAAAGGGGGGTGAAAGCTAAGCTCGCTCCAAGCAGTGAAAGAAGCCGCAATAGGGTCCATCTGGCGACCGGGGGAACGGTGTGTTTGTTCTTCTTTGGTAGTCTTCCAAGGAGCTCGGTGATTTCCTCAAAAAAGCCCTCCGACATCAACACATCCCACACCAGAAGCTGAAAGCAGCTCAAAAACCTGACTTTACCCATGAGGGTTTTGAAACTCATGGGAGGAGCTCCCAGGTCTGACCATTTCTTGCAGGTCTTTTCCACCCACCCATGGACGTCCTCACCGCATTGGACCTCCTCACCCTTCATCTCCAGGTAGTCTTCCGTTTTCGTCACGCCTTCCAAACCAACTGGGTGCCCTGTTTGGCGAAGCAAAGGACTGACCGCGCTCCGCGAACCTTCCGCGCCGTTCTCCGGGCAGGTGAGGAGCCGGAAGCGGCCTATGGAGACCGTCCCCTCTTCTTGCCCTCGGCCTTCACCCAAGGCCGAACACAAAGTCGGCCGAGCTCGCTCCGTTCTTGCCGTCGGGGTTGCGGATAAGACCAGCCCAAAAGGTCAGAGGCAGCACTTCGGATTCGAAGTGGCTTGAAGTGGATGATGGATCCGAAGCCAAAGGGTTGCACCGCTCTAGCCTTCCATGGACTTGAATTCGTGACGTTCCCACTCACCCGACCCATTTTTTTCACAGGCCCAAGACTAAGACCTCACTTGAAAATGCCAACCATCCGACTCAATTGGAGGTCGCTCGGATTGACTTGTTTGCTTCGCGCCGCTTCGGTCACGCTCCGCGCACCTGCGGAAGACACGTCGTGGCCGTTCAGGCGTGGAAGCGGTGCCCGTGGCGGACGTGCGGTCGCTTCAGGCGCGAGGTCGTGTGTTTCGCGTGAGAGAGAGAGAGAGAGTAGGGACTGTACAGGGGGTGCAGGTCAACCAGAGATCAAGAGAGTTTGGTGCATCTGAGCCTGCCAAACACCTCCTGCTCGTAGTGTAAGTTCTTGAAGTTTCTGGAAACTCATTTGGTTCAACCAGCCCATTTGTCTGACCATCCATTTATAATGAACTGTTCGGCAACGAACCCCCCGAGTTGGTTTTTGAGGCCTAGGACCTTAGGAGAAAGGGTGGTTTCACCGCCACTTCTTAGCACCAGGTCCTTGCACTTGCCATTCGTGTGCCTGTGCATTTTGGGACTCCTATTTCCATGCATCCTCCCCCAAGCCACGGACCGTTCCATCTGGTCTCCCTGCCGGCGCCGCCCGCTGGATGCCGGATGGGAGGCGTCCGGAGCAACGACGTTTCGATCTCCACCGGTCGAAGGTGGTCTTCCCGGTCGACTTCGCGCCCCATGGCCACGTGGTGCAGCTGGAGGAGGCACCACCAGGACCAGAGGCCGCGACGGGTGACGCACGTGTCTTGGCACCATGTGTGTGGCCGTCCGTGGGATGGGGCGGGGCACGAGTCCAGGGCCTCAAGGAGTCAAGGAGTCGGGATGCAAAAGAATGGTGAGTGCAGGTGTGTGAATTCGAGCAAGCTTCCGCCGGTGATCTTCACCGTTGGAAACTAGGTTCCCTTTTTGGGGGGGCTCCCTGCTCCGTTCCTTCAAAATAGAGATGGACTAGTAAGGCCCTAGCTGCTCCGTTCGTAGCGATGCACTTGTTCCTAGTAGCGAACCTTGTTACTAATAGTAAGGCACTTGTTACTACTAGCGTGGCACTTGTTTCTAGTGTTCAAGTTATCCTGAGAGCATCGAGTCGGATCTCTTTCTCTGTTCTTGATCCAGTCGCAGTTTGGGTCTCCATAGGATCAGCCTGAGAGTGAGGGCCCATTGTTCCACCGGTTTTCCAGGTTCGTGTCTCCGGGTGACCTTGTCCGTTGGTTTTTGTGTCTGAGTCTGTTCAACCCATGGCTTGTGGGAAAAAACACGCCTACTGCAGCTAAGGTGGACCTTTTGGGGGGACACCTGGTCAGTTTTGCCACCAAACTGCAGATGTCCCTGGCAAGGAGAACTCAGGTTAAATCTTTTCTGCTATATGTTTTGGGTGTTGTGCTGAAGGAGGCAACTTTTGCTCTACCTGGATAATCCATGGAATGAACTCTTCACCTAACTTTCTCCAAGTTTGCCCTTCGATGAGATCGTTCAACAACGTTTCAATCGAGTAAGTCAGACTCGAAACTCGTCTCCAGCGCAATTCCGAAACCTGTCAAGCAGGCTCGCTTGTCGGGTGAAAGCGTGTGCATTTTCTCTGAGTTTGGCCCTGCGACTGAGTCGAGGATTGCCCATCCGACTCACTGAGATATTGGATATAAGTGGACATTGGAGCTTCAGATGTTCTGGTCTTTTTCCCCCACCAGCAGCATTTCTGTTGGGGTTCAATCTCACGGACTGGGAGTGGTGTACAGTCGAGTGCAGAATATGCTGTTGGGCAGCGTCCGTTTCGTCATGGATTGGGGAACCCAATCCAGGCGAGACTCATCAGCTGGTTGGGCAGAACGAGAGATGAAATCCCTGACCCGGTGGCCCAAATCCCCAAAACCAGCAGTTCCATGGAGGAGTCGGGGTGCTGAGCCCACTGGGAAGGAAGAACTGGGGTGCCCGGAAACATGTTCCCCTGGCACATCCATGCACGGAAGGGGTCTTAGAACCACATCGGACGGACCATCACATACTTGTGAGAAGATCTCCCCCCTCATCGCGTCGATCTGGCCTGTTCAAGAGGCCGTAGAGAGTGCATGGTTCTTTTTGCCTGAAGTAGAGACAGCCAAGCTTTTCGGATGTTGGACCAGCCACCCACCTCTTCTCCGAGGCATGCGTTTGGATCACTGGCGTTGGTACAATCTCAGCTCGCATGTCACTTGGACCCGAAGGGGTCGGACGAAGGACTAAACGGCTGGCTTAACGGTCGGCTGGCTGGACGACGTGGAGTGTTTCTCGCCGGACGAGCCGGGAGAAGACGTAGCGGCTAGCGAAGGTAAAGATGGAAGATGATGAACCTGAACATTGGATCTTTGGAAGAGTAGCTTTCGCCCCTAAAACCCATGGTTTTGGCAGGTTCGGTCTCTGGAAGATGGCGTTTCGTACTTTTGTGTCACCGTTGAGATCCGTAATCACCTGGGCGGTGCACAGAGTTGTTGTCTTTGGGTTTTCGGGGCCCAGGGCTGAAAGGGTGCCGACTGAGACACAAACACCTAGACCTAGCGTCCCTGCTCCTAGTAGCGATGCCCTTTGCTCCTAGTAGGAGTAGGGCCAGGAGCCCCTAGTAGCGTCCTTGCCCCTAGTACTGGATATGTTGAAGACTTTAATCAAGAACCCTTTGGGACGTGATATCAGAAGGATGGGACACCTCTTCGCTTGTGGCCATAGCTTGTCAAGGATTCCCGAAGTGCGCCAGAGTTTTCCACCTCGCCCAAAAACCCACTCGCATCCCCCCAAACCTGCAATTTCCACCCACGCACACGGACCAGTTGTCGGTGCTCTCGAACGCCAAAAAACACACGCATGCTCGATCGGAGCATCGTTGGGCCTAGCGCAGCTTGAGCGGAGGATCGGCCTAGCGCAGCACGCTACGACGCCACGCGCTACGCCACGCGCAGGTGGGCGCCCTCTTGGGTCACGAGGGGCCCAAGAGTTTGACGTCGCTCCTCCGGAAGCGAGGCGCACGGTCGCCTTTTCGGGATGGCCCGGGGTGGGATGGCCGCCGGGGATGGTTGAGGATCGTTCGCGAAGACATGGTTGTTGAATGTTGTTGACTTATTCTTTTCGAACGTGACGAAATGGTGAAGCGTAGGATTTGCTGGATTCTGCTGGATTTGTTTGGTGAGACGAAGGACTTCTCCTGGTGTTAAGGGAAGATGTTGCAAATGGACCCATTTTCATTTTATCATTGGATCATATTAGATCTGGATTTCTGTGTGGATGGAGCGAGGTCTAGGTTTGAGGGCCTTTGATATTTGCAGCAGCACAGTTTTCGGTCAAGAACGATGCAGGTCTCAAGATTGAATAGTTTGCACTCAAGCAGCCTGAGGATGTTCACTGCCAAGCAGCTTGCAGACATTGACCTTTGGATGGGTATGTGATCAGACTTTGGAGGGTGTCAGAAACTGGGCAGTCCTGGTCCGGCCATGGGATTTCGAGCGAAGGCACACGACATGCGCATGTCTCCCCCAGCCCGGGGGATTGCGCCCCGCCCACACCACCCGCTGCCCACACGGATCGCTTCCTACGCAGGGTGGATCACAGAGCTGGAGGTGGGTGGCGCCGACAACACCACCACCTTTGCAATGCTGCGAGGGGCCTCAGCTGGGCGCGCCTGTGGGTTGGGTTCTACCGGGTTGCACGGTTGGAGGGGTTGAAGTTGAGATGCGCTTCTTCTTCAGGCGGGTGTGTATCTTAATATAGATCTTAATGGGGAGATCCCCAACCAATGGGTTTTGTGGATGTCGAACACTTGTCGAACACTTGTCGAACGCAGGATGCTTGGGTTTGGACTGAGCATTTTCTCTACGGCAGGGGCTTGATTGTTTGGTGGCTTCGATGCGATGAACTCTGTGCGGGACGAAACCGGCGTGATAGAGACACCGGAGAACGAGTCGGAAGACTCGGAACACCCACATCTCCGGTTTCAAGGACCAGGACAGGAACCCTCAGCCCAGTCCCGAGCCACTCACGTCGTGGACCTTGACTACTGGTGCAACAACCCTTGGTGGACCGGGACCGGGTGGACCGATGCGCGCGACCGAGCCACGCGAGCGACCGCGGCTAGGGTGGTGTCCATGGAGCTCACGGACGAAGGCTTTCGGCAGAAGGACCGGACGCGCCCCTCGCGGTCGTCGCGACGCGGGCGCGCTAGGACCGGGGCGGCCCAGATGGCGAGGGCGTCACGGCTGGCAGATGTGGATCGGAGGGTCTGAGAATCCAACTCCAAGAGGATTGTACGGGGGTTGCTGCCCGGGCGGATCGGAACGACTGCTTTGATGGACTGGACACAGGCTCTGCTGCTGCAGTCTGCTGGGTTGGGGTTGACTCGATGTTTGGGCGATGGCAAACGTCTGGAACGGAGCCCAGGACGAGATTCTGAAGATCCTCTTTGGCTACCTGAACTTCGTGAGACAGTTGACGGAGTTTCCCAAGGAGATGACCTGTCATGCGAGAACTTCAGCTCGACGACCTGTTTGGCAGTTCCAAGCCGGTAGTCACTAAGGACTCATGTGCTACTGAGACTGTGAGGTACACACTAAGGGATATGGGGTTCCCTTCTTTCAATTAAGAAACACCAGGTGAGTCAGTTCTGTTTGAGGTTTGATACTGGGACACTTCTATCACCGCGGGTGATCCAGCGTGGTCTTTGATTCGGGAGGTTGCACAACCACAGGCCCGAGGACACGTGACACACGTGACATGTCAATGCCGCTCAAGCTACTGGCAATGCTGGGAGTCAAAGACTGTATAAACCTTTACTTCGGTGGTCGCAAAAAAGTCTTTGGACTTCTAGGGAATGTGATTCATGCAGCATTTTATAGTTTGGGAGTTTGGTTTCTCACAAAACCCCATCCCGGTTCCGGTCTCTGAGTGGCATGACCGAAGGGAAAAGATTGTGGCGGATGCTTTCTCTCCTGGATTCAGCTCTTACAAAGTCACGAAACTGGAAGCAGCCCCACAACACGGAGGTTCCAGCCCCGTCGCTCCAGCCCTGGTCTGACAAACCGAGCTCCCGCCCACGCCCCCACGGAGTGTGGTTCTTACCGTGGTTGTGATACCGTCTTGGGCCTGGTGGCATCTCCAGGCCCCGACCAAACGGTCCCGCTCACCGGGCGGGTGGCCAAACCGGGGCCCAGTGCCACCCGCCCCCCACTGGATGGACCTTCGCGCCCCCCCGGAACCCCCGCGCGCCCCGCGCGGCCGCGCCCGAAGAGTTCGCCCGGCGCGCGTGCTGTTCTTCGACTCGGTTTTTGGGGCCGGTGCGGTCGTCTGTGGTACGAGGAGTTGGTGTCGGAGAACCTGCGGATCTCGGACTGTGCGTGGATCACACGGGAGGACCGGTCGGGTTGCGGGTGGAACGCGGCGAGCGCTCGGGTGTGGCCTCCGGGAGGGGCTACCTGGGTTGACCAGAATGGACGACCTGACTAGTCGGTCAACCTAGCCTGGTTTGGGGATCGTGCCATGACCCACAGGCATCAAAGGGACGGGTGGGGACGGCAGAAGAGTGGGCATGAAGAACTGGGAGAGTGGACATTCAATTCTCAATAGGAGGAATTAACATCACCAAAGCCTGTCCTGTCTTCCTTTCTCCAGTTTCTGGCCTCTAAGTAGGTCTCGTCCGACATCAAACCAGACGGATGAATCTATGTAATTTCCTCGAGAAGCACCCTTCTACATAGGTACAGTACGACTATCATTCAAATCGATCAAAGTGCAAACACCAGCTAGAATGATGGCTTTTGCACTTAAAGTATCTTAAACCATTGGTCAATTCATCGGCCACTCCAAGATGTGCATGTTAAAAGGCTTGGTGTTATTTTCGAAAACATATGTGCAGATAGAATACAACTACCATGCAGATCGAATGCCGATAGAACATTGGTATAAGCTATGGGGTTTCGTCACATTTGGCCCTTGAGGCACTCTATCTAGCAACTAGTATCTAGTTGAATCTAGTCGATGTCCATGGAGTGCTTCACTGATCACTATGAAACCCTCCAGATAAACTAGATCAAACAAACCCGTTAAACTCTTGCCCTGAACACCAGAAATCGCGGATGTTCTTCGTCGTGATTGACACAACACTGCGGGCTTTTCTCCTCGCTGCAATCCGTGCACCACATCAATCCTCATCGCTGCATCCGAGCGAATGCCGGCCGAACACCGAAAGCAACGCCCAGGAGCCAGGTCCACAAGATGCAGCAGTGCTCTTCGCAGGCTCCATGCAGGTGAGCCTGGATTGCACGTCGATAGAAACCCACAGATGTTCCGCTTTTCAGGACGAGTTTGGATTTTGATTCCCCGTCCACAGTGCCACTCACATGGCATATTTGTTTGGCCTTTTGAGTCAAAGGGTGTCTCTTCGAACCTCTTTTTAACACCCGCCGCGGTTTTGGAATGGCAGGACTGGGCCGTCCCGAAGTACTACCTCTCCGGGAATGCGCGGCTTCGTGATGGGCCTGGTCTACAAGGCAGGCGTCGGGTGGGGCCACACATGGAGCTGAACGGGGAAAGATGCTTTGAGGGTCATTGGCTTCAGGCATACTGTGACCCACCGAGCAACTGGCCCTTTCACGTTTGATATCTTCTGGACACACATACGCGGTGAAACGGTCCTCGCGTCCTCCGGGAAACATCCAGGTTCGGTTTCGGACGGAGGCGGATGGATTCGGCGTCCGTTTTCCAAACCGGTTCCGCTTCGGGTCCCAGGCACCGCAGAACCTCTGCGGCCGTCGCACGTCGCGTGAGCAGAGCGACTGGGACCGACCCTCGTTTGGAGCGATCGGACGCTACGTTCGGGGCTCCTGGCATCGCTACTGGCTACTAGGAGCAAGAAGCTACTAGGAGCTTTTTGCATTATGTGACTGATACGACTGTGGGACAAATGGAGAAACATGCATTCTTGTGGATTCGGATTGGAATCTTTACCTCGACCCTCGTAGGTTCCTCCAATTCCATGGCACACCAAGACACCACGCTCCTGCCGTCATCTGGCGGCTTCGCCTTCCTTCGCCTTCCTTCACCTTCCTTCACCTTCCTTCACCTTCCTTCTCCCATCTCACATCACGTAAAACGTGTGATTCTTCACACGTTTTGGGCGCCCCGTGGCAGACACCGTTGCGAAGCTCTTGCAATTGCTGCGGCCTTCCAACGCACTGGTCACCGTTCGGGGGCCCTGAGGATGGGCGCGCGGGGGGATGAAGGACTCGTCTCGGCACCTGGGAAGAGCAAACATAGACCTTATTGAGTCTCCCGAGACTCATCATGGAAGTGGAGTTCAACACCCTGTTTATACAGAAAAATGGTCATCCAACAACCCATTCCGTCCACTTCCATGAGTATTCCAGGGAGTGGAGCACCCATTTGCCCTAAGATGCAATCAGAGGCTGGACAAAAACATTTTTTGCTTATATATGTGTGGTCTTCAGAAGGTCAGATTGCAGAGAACCATCTGTCCCACCTGGGTCAGAAAAGTGCTCATATATGTATGGTGGAGGCCATCGTTAGGTTGGAGGCCATCGCTATGAGCGACTGCAAGCTTGCACCTGGGTCACTGCCTTTTCACCCCAAAGCTGTAACCATCCGCCGAAGCGTGCATCGCCTCGCCCGGAACGAGGTGGTCTCAAGAAGTTGCGCTGGAACTCTGACGGAACCCTGGTGAGCCCTGGCTCTTCTTCTCCGTTTCGGAGGAAGCGTGGAGGGTTCGTCCCGGTCCAGGAGTTTGATCCTTTGGTACCTACTTCCAAGGGGTCAAGCAGTTGGACTACCCTGCCCGCAAAAAAACGGCAGCAAAAAGAAAAACCACACGGCACGCATCAACAAAACATCATGCATCAAACAGAAAGCACATGACGGACGGAGGTCAGAAAGGCCAGACGGAAGCAAACCTCTTCTCGGGTGTTCAAATGCATCGGGGCTTGGATATTCTGATGGGTGGATTATATAAGTGTTGCTTTAACGATGTAGGATACATCAGTTGGTGTTCTGGATGGATTTTGTTGGGTTTTTAGATTCTGATGGTGCTTTTGGATGGGTTCAATAGATCTACCCATCCCAACCTTGTGCCAGTACTGCAAACTGAAGCCGAACGCCAGGTATGGCACGCGCTACAGCCTCAAGGACTTGACCCGCCTCCAAAAGGAGTGGCAGAACGCCTCGCTGGCGCCGGGACTAGGCTGGCTCGGGCATGCGACAGGCTTTCTTTTTACTCGGAGGTGACCAAAAAAGCTGTCGGACACCCAGGAACGGAGCTCGAAATGAACGGAGCTCGGACGCACCAAATGAGCAACTAAGCACCAATGGCTCACCTCAGTATGTAGAGATGTGGAAGAGATGGACATGCCACTTTTTCGGTTTTGATCATCGCTCAACTGGAGCACGCCATCGGAGAACAGGATGGATGCACCGTCAGTTTCGACCAGTCTGACCCTTGGACCCTCGATGGAAATCGACGAGGTTATCCTTGATCTACATGGTGTATCACCCCTCTCCATGGGAGGGGAGGGGAGGGGCCATGGTTTGGCCACACTTTGGCTGGTTTCGGGTGTGGTCTTCGTCACTTGCTTGGTGATAATCGTCCATCTCACACTGGAAAAACACATCACATATTCAATACACACATCGATACATCGATACATCTTCCCGGACCATTCACTCGGTGTCTCGCCCGCAACGGGCGGCGGGAAGATGGAGTTCGCCAGGCCTTCCGGATCCGAACCCCTTCTTGCCAAGGAGCTTGGAGTTGAAGGCAGGCGGGGGCAGGTAAGTAGGTAGGTAGGTAGGTAGGTATGTGTGTGTGCAGCTATAGGGGCTTTTTTGACGCGAGCTGCCTGATTGTTTTTGTTACATTTTTTCCGCTGGGTCTTCAGCACAGGGATGGGTCAGCCTTGGGGTCAGGGTCCATCGCTTGGGATGCCTTTCTTGTTTTGAGTACACTCTTCGGAAGTTGACTACTGTGACATGAATATCAATGTCCATTAGGTTGGAGGCTATCGTTACTAGGTTGGAGGCCATTGCTAGTAGGTTGGAGGCCATCGCTAGTAGGGTGGAGGCCATTGCTATTAGGCTCCTTTTGCTTGAATGTCAATGTCACTATGCTCCAATTCTCTGTGACGCAGCTGGAGCCTGGTCGAATTGCTCCCCGCACCAGCTGGGGTCTCGCCCTGATTGTTCTCAAGAGGCGGTCGAGAACCAAACAATCTCTTTTGCTTCTTTGGAATATCACCGCTTCAAATCGATCATTCAGTACTATAGGTTTTCACAGGTTTTCACCAGTTTTACAGCTCTTTGGAAGGGTTTTACGCCCTTGGGCGTTTTTTTTCTGTGACCTGCGGCTTGAGCAACACCTTGAGAAGACCCTTCGTGAGCAGATGGATGAAGATCCAGAGTTCGATGCACCAGCCAGTCACCAGTGAGGACCGAAAATCCATTCGGAAAATCGTTATTTTTGGTTACCGAAGCATGGATCTGTCACTTAAGGGCATGGATCTGGCACGAAGGAAAGTGTTTGATCCCAGGTGAATCGCAACAGTTCTGGAAGTTGTTGAATACCAAAGTGATGTATTTCCATCCCAGGAGAGGGATCACATAGCATTCATGGCAGTTGGAAGTCTAGTGACGTAACTCCATGACCAAGACCTGCAAAAGACCGGCGAGCCGATCTCACAAGCATAGACGTGAATGGAGTACACTTTGACTAACATGGAAGTGAACGCCTTGTGTGTAGAGGAAAGTCGTTTTCCAGAGGCCCATTGTCCACTTCCATGTTAGTGAGTCAGAGTGCAATTTTCTGGAGGGAATCCGTTTTGGGAACAGGGGGGGTTCACTTAAATGAAAAAACGTGAGTCGATGTTGTTTGTCAAATGAATCCAGCTGGGGCTATGAAGCACCCGCAACCTGTCTTTCCAGCTAGCTTTCAATGCTCATACAGAGTATACCCTTCCAGTAACCCTCCGGTTTTGGATCCGACCGGGTCCCATGGGACACTGACACTTCCTCCGGGTCCAGATGTCTTGACTCTAAGACTCCCACCGTCACCACCGACCTTCGTCGCCAGGCGCCGCGGCGCGGCCTGCCGACGGAGCTGCGGGCCGCGTTCGCGGCACCGGCGAAGAGGAGCGAGGACGCCTGGGAGGCCTACTTCCGGCCGCTTGGTTGGTGCTGAAATGGCTGCGGGAAACTCCAAGGACGGTTTCGACATGGTTCGACCAAATTGATCAGGGTTGCTTGCAAGCCTCCGAAACCAATGGTTTGTTTTTGGCTTCACACATGATGTATTTTTTGCAGAGCAAAAAGAACATATAGAGCAAGAGATAGGAGGGGCTGGGAGAGTTTATCTGATATTGGGATTGCTTGACGTGGTGGGAAAAACCATCATCCACCCCATGTTCCGGTCCTTTGAATCATTGACATGCAATGGGGCCGGTCTCAGCGGACGAGCATCGCCGACCTAGGCAGGACACCGAGCAGCGAGCTCAGCCGGGGGTCGATGACACCGATTTGGGAACCTGAAATTGGAGGGTCTATGACCTGGATCTGTCTTCTTTTCTTGCCCTCCCATGGCTTTCCTGCAGCGGCATTCGCTGCAGTCAAGAAAACGCGTGGCAGACACCCTGTAACAACCACTCTTTCCAAGCACACACTTCGTCCCCTTTCACATCCATACGGTGTTCAACGCAAAAAAGGTATGAATATAGAGAAAAGCCTACTGCTCATCAATAGAACCAAACCACTTTGGACATCTCGGGAGCTTGCATGTTTGTTCCCAAGTCAGAGGCAAAAAGGGCTGGACTTATTGAAAGAGCTTAAATGGATTCTTAGAGAGCTCAGCGCTTGCCAGATCTTGCCATTCAAGGATCACCTGAACGACCTAAAGCACAGGATGATGAAGCCAAACTGACAATGTAACCACCTTTTTGTTCCCTCACACCATTCCTCATCCTGACACTACATCAAAACTGATGTGTTTCTGCCTCAAGAATCTGCCACCCAAAGAACATACATGTGGGTTTTCTCAAACACGAGTTCCAGATTTGGGTGTGTCTTAAACTAGGCAGACCGACCGCCGGCTTTTTCCAACCTCGACCAGGTCGTCCCAACGCCCGCGCTTCCGCGCGCGCGGGATCCGCGCGGGCGAGATCGACCGGAGGGTTCTCCGAAATTCAATCGGATCCATTTCCCAAGAGTTTCAAAGGGGTGCGATCCATGGAGGTTAGGGGCTAGGGGTATCCACTCAGTTAGGGACTAAACACCCCTTTGTGACCTTTTCTTTTCTTCGCTCCCTCGGACCTCCACCGGAGCTCAAGGTACGGTGTCCCCAAGGCCTTTGTCTTTGTAGAGCTGCCCACCTCCGTGCCGCGAGGCTGGGGAAGCGAGGCGACGTTCCCCCGGCCAAGCGGTGGCACCTGTTGGCTTCTTGTTACTACTAGTAAGGCACCTGTTACTACTAGCGTGGCACTTGTTTCTACTAGCTTCTTTGTTACGTAATGGTGAAAACCCCCGCGTTTTCGGGGTGTTTTCATCCATGGTTTTTGTGGTTCGAGATTCCTGAAGGAGCAATCCATTGAGAAGTGGAGTGGAAGCGAACATTGCAGGTTTTTGCTTCCACTTGGTCCACATTCTCAAGGATGATTCTTCCACTGTGAGGTAGACTGCGCAGTCGACATGGACTTATTTTTCAGTAGCTTCCTGGGCCGACGTTTGGGGACTGTAGCCAGCAGTCGGTGATGAACGAACGAACGGATGGTTCCCTGTTCGAATTTCTCGCCATGTGGCTCACTCTCCCGCTTGATCAGGCGACCCCAAGCGCACGGTGGCCGCTCGGCTGTACGAAGCCATCATCCAGGATGCCTTGCAGGCCGCGCCGGGCGGGACCGCGAGGTTCTCGGTCGGCGGTTGGGCGGTTCGCTTGGGCCAAGAGTTGGGCACCGAGGCTCAAGGTGCCCAAACACACACCAGCATGACGCGCCCCCAGTTCTCCGTCCATTTCCAGTCATTTTCAGCCCATTTTCCATGCAATTTTCACCACCAAGAACACGATTACAAGGATGCTCGCATACAAGAGTGATGCAACTAACGACCTCCAATCTTTGGTCTTCAATCAACGTTGTTTTTTTGCTTAAGACTGGCAGACTAGAGTCGTAGCAGATGGATGTTTCTTTGTCTCGCTTTGATGACTTGGGTGTGGGTTCTCTTGCAAGGACGCTACGAACGTAGCTCCTGGCCTTACTACCAGGAACCAGGTTCGCTACGAACGGAGCGGTCGGACGCATGACCTTCGGGGCCTGTCTGTGCCGTGGTCTCACTGCGTGTAGATCCAAACGGGAAAGCCGTGAAGCTGTGAGAGTCCGCTGGGAGTCCAGCGCTGCACCACGGGGATTTGCTCGTTCGGTGCGGACCAACGGACGAAGGAGGAAGAGGGCTGAGCTTGGTGTGGACGAACATGGTGGGTTTCCTTGGCAAACACTGATTTCATGGTACGAATTTACGACTCCCAACTTTTTGTGGAACTGCCGGACCCGGACCCTGTCCAGACCAATTCGTTTTTTCGGGCTCAGAACGATCGGCTCCTAGCGACTCTTTCCAGTGTCCACAGGAGTCTTTGCTCTACAACGCGCAAGTGGCAGGCATCTGGCGCGGAAGTGGAATGTAACAGAGGTTGAACATTGGAAGACATGCATCCTAAGGTGGTAGAAAGGTAGCTCGAGAGGGTAGTTGTGCATAGGAGAACTGTAGAGGAGCGGAGTGCTGTTTTCGAAGATGTGATCCATTTTCGGTGGGCACATGGGCCACATGCATGTGGCATGGATGTTAACTGGACAAACTCTTGAATGGCAGTATAGAGTTGGAGCTTCAATATCTGGAGCGAATGGAATTTTGATCTCATACAATTGGAGATGGCTCAGAGACAGGCTGATCCGAATGGAGACCTGGAGGTCTCCAGGTCCACCTGGAATGAATTGGGGATGGGTCGTGACCCACCAAGGTCTGCCTGGTTCGCGTTTCCGACCGACACGGCCGTACCTCGTGCCCGGTCGGTGTCCTCGTGACATGGCCCGCACCACATGGAAGACGTGGCCTTCTCCGTTGGTTCGGCCCCTCCGCTGTCAGGTTCTCCCAACCTCTGCTCCATGGGAGGGAAGGGAAGGGCAAGAAGGTCACCGGAGTGGCGAGTTCCGAGACCCGTAGCTGCGAGACCCGTAGTCCGCCCCCATGTCGGGACCCGACTGGTAGACTGCGAACCCGGAAGACCATCACATTCATAAAGCCATCCAGGTTGCTGACGAAGATCCCTGAGTTGGATAGTCTCCTTGTGTTATGATTCGGTAATTTTGTGGGACTGGGACATCACCATGTACAGCTGTTCCATAATCGGATCAATCCTACAACAGCACGTGAACCCTGTTGGGGGGCCAGGCGAGATCATTGAATTCGCTGACTAAGAGGAAAAAGGCTGGTAGGATCACGGGGCCCACATAACTGTAAAAATACACAAATATTCATCTCACTACGTGTCCCGGTCTCCAGATTTCATTCTTCCGGGAAGTGTGCGTGGTGTGCGTGTGGAGTGTAGCATTACCCCCCCCTCGCTTTGTAGGTGTTGAAATTCACCTCATCCCCATGGACCCCGTAGCGTTGACTCTCAAGGTAGAGCAAAAGGTAGCGCTTACCGGGCTAGCAGGGTTAGCTAGGTAGTTAGTACTATTAGAGCTGATCCTGTAAAATACAGGTTATCAGCCGTAGGCTAGCTAGATTAGAGCTATGGACCCAATGGATGACGACGTCCCACCGAATGCCTACGGAAGTGGCTTTGACATAGTTCCGAGTGTGCCCAATAGTTTGGATGCAGTTCAACGGCATGAACAGGCAGTTGCACAAGTGGCTGCAATGGATCCAAGGGTTGCTTCGGAGGTGTACCAAGAGATGCTAAATAGTGGTGGTAGTGTTACTCTTCAAGAGGCGGCACAAGCTACCCTAGCAGGTATGCCGTCAGCCACCGTAGCTGGTGCGCCAACAGTAAGCAACTTGTTGGCAATGACTCGGCTCAACGTCGTCAACCTGAACGCATCGCCAAACGACGAAGAACTACGACGGGAGTTACAACAACATGAGTTTTTGCTCAGCGAACAAGCCAGGAGGGAAGCTGAAATCGAGGCATTGCGCTTCAGGAGTATTTACGAAAGAGAAGCTTCCGAATCTATAGCGGCAACAAAGGCTGCCGCAGAGCAGGCAATGTTGAATGTTCAACAAAGGGCCCAACAGCAGGAACAAAGTGTTCAGCAAATGGTCCAACAGCAAGACAATGTTGCAATCAAACGGTTGCAAGGTACATTGGAGGAGCAAAGGGAACATTTTCAGCAGCGGCTAGCTCAGGCGACAGCAGCTCATGAGAAAGTTGTACAGGAAAAGAATGCCATGGCGGAAGAAGGCAACGCTTTTGTTGACAAAATGAGAACTGAACATCACCAGTATGTTGAGCAACAGGAGGCTAAGCTGAAGGCAGCCGTAGAGGCAAAGGATCAGGCAAGACATTCGTCTGCTGAAGAATCCCGGATCGCTATAGAACTTGACTTCAAGCGAGAACAACTGGACAGTTCGTTGGCAATTGCACAGGCAAAGATCAAAACCCTTGTTAATGAAATGGAGGCTACAAATAAGCAACATAGAGTTGATCGGGAAACACAAGAGCAAACTATAGTTGAGCTTCGCAAGGACAATGCAATGTTGAAGGGTGAAATGGATGAGCTCAGGCGTGTCGTACAGTCCTTGACAGACAGGGAAGAGGAACGCAAGGAAGCGGAGCGCAAAGAGCAATCCTCTAGCCCCGTTAAGCCAGGGCCGCAATACCCTGAGCCATTCACACCTCCTGCTCGACAAGATGCTCACCCAATTGGTCAACCGCAATCTTTTGAACCTCTACGCACGGAAGGCACTGTTCCAGCAACCTTAGACGATAAGCCCCTTGATAAAGGTGGATCTCCTATAAAGACAGCTATGGATGCAACAGCGTCCGTGCGCAACACAGGATTCCCATCAATGTTCTCAGGGACAGGGGCGCCCGCAGCGGAACAGGCAACGGCCTCTACAGACAGGCAACAATTCAAACAACCGGATCCGTGGATGGAGTACACGAAGAAGTCAACACAATACAACTTCAGTGATGATCCTTTGTACAAAAGCTCCTTTAATCAGGAAGCAACAAAGACTAAGGATGATCGCAGAGAAGAAGGGCCGGCTTCTCAGGTAAGAACTCCACAAGACCAAGATTTGGGGGAAATCATCAAGAAGGCCTTGCTAGAAGGGTTTAAGGGCGCTAAAAGCAAAGACTCCGATAAGCCCAAGGCAAAGGAGGCTGACAAGATAGATCTCCCTGAATTCCCAAGTCCTGACAGGTACCGCACTTGGAGGGCCGCGGTTCGCGAAGCGATACGGTCCGCGTCCGATGACCCAGACGCTGCGTTCGCATGGGTGCTTGAGGTGTACGCTGTTCGTGAAGACAAAGCCAAGCTTTGTTCCGAATTGGCTGACCCAGGCAAGTTTCGGACCTTAGACACGAAACTACTTGCTGCTTTAACTAAGGTTGCCAAAGGTGAACTGTCTCAGCAGATCCTTAATTATAAGGAATCTGAGGCACAGCAAGGTAGGATCGTCCGTGGTCGTCAGGTGTTGCTCATGTTTGAAGTCCACTTCAAGACCAGTGAAGAAGCGGGTGCACTGTATGGCACTGAGGACCTCCTCAAGATCTCGCTTGATAGCGACGACTTGAAATCCTTTCTAAGAAAATGGGAGAGTGTTCTGACCGGAATGAGTCATGTCCCAGACCCGGCAACTCTCAAGGATTTGTTTTATAGAGAGGTTAGGAAGTCCCGCAAGCTCAGATTTGACCTTGATGTTTATGAACGAGCGCCGGAGGGAAGTAACGACAGAAGCTATGAATTTCTTATCAATTCTGTTCGACGTTACCTTGACAGGGAAAGGCTCAGGACCAATCGCGAAAAGATATCACAATCACACGCGGCAAAGTTCGCAAACCCGGCACCGCACGACAAGCGCACGCGAAGCCCAAGTTATGGCAAACGAAGCACAAAGGGTGACGGAAGCAATCAATGCTATGAGTATGCCAAAACTGGTAAGTGTAAGTACGGGAGCAAATGCAAGTACTCACACGACTCTAGCGCCCGTCCCCGCTCCCTTAGTCGGGAGTCGTCTCGTTCGCGTAGCGCAAGTCCGAGCAGCCGTTCATCGTTCAGGTCAAGCCGATCTCGAAGTTCGTCAAGACACACTTCCCGCTCCAGTTCAAGGAACTCATCAAGAAGCTCAAGTAGAGGGAGGAAATCTGACAAGCCATGCAGGTTCTTTGCAAAGGGTAACTGCAAAAGGGGTGACAAATGCCCGTTTAAACACGGAGACACTGCAACACCAGCCCCGCGCAGAAGGAGTCCCTCGCCCGCAGCTAAAAGGTCTAAGGACAAGAAATCCAAGAAGGACAAAAAGGACAAAAAGAGCAAACGGGAAAAGAAGGACAAAAGTCCAAAGGCCAGTCCATGTATTCAAACAGGTTTCGCAATGTCTTGCTTAGCAGTAACCGCAACTCGGACCCAAAAGAGTAAAGACTACTGGGAATTCTCCAAAGATGGCAATGAGTTGATTAGGCACCATTTGAAGCCTAGGCACAGGTCGTTTCTCCCAACACGTAAATCCTGTCCAGTTGAGTCATCTAGGTTGGAAGACCAGTTTACCATGGTAGTCACTGACTCAAAGGGAAAGAGTAGGACAATCAAGGGTAATTGGAAGAAACACCCAAACGCGAAACAGAAATTTGATTGGACTGGAAAGTCAATTTTCCGTGTTGTGCAAGAGAAGAGAATTCGTTTTGAATTAGAACCGGAGGTACACACCTTTCATGTTTGGAAGGAAATGTACCGGCGTGTAGTGAATAAGAGCAAGGAGCGGAACCTGTTCCGGACCACTGAGGAATGCCCAAAGTCCCGCGAGTGTGACACTAAGGACGCCATTTTGGCAGCGGAGTCACTTAGGCAGATGCTCGTTTCGATGGATACTGAGGAGCCTGCGTGTGATTTCCTTTGTGAACATTCCCCAGAAGGCCCCGATGATTTGTGCTGCACGAAGTGCAGAACAGTCGTCGGAGAACAGGTGCCGTCATGTGCTCGCTTAACAGCGATGCCAAATATGGTTGGTATGGAGAAGTGGCTGGGTGACACTGGCACTGACCAGGACATCGTAGGTAAGGACTCTAAGACAGTCAACAGGGCCACCAAGATATTCAAATCCAACGAACCAATCTCCCTTACTACTGCCAATGGACCTATCACTGCTGACGAAGTAGTAGAGGTGATCTTGCCAGGGTTATGTGAATCCTTCAACCCCTACATTCTCCAAAGTACTCCCTCTGCACTTTCAATTGGCTTGAGGTGCTTAGAACAGGGATATGATTTTGTTTGGGGAAAGGACACTACTCCCATATTTCTTCGACCTGATGGACAATGCGTTAAATTCAAATTGCAAGGTAGGGTTCCATATATTGATGAAACATGTACCCCATTCTCAATTCCTGAATCACTGAGGACTCGCCTTACTAAGGTACTCGATTCCATCCACCAGTTCA